CCCTCATTGCTTAAAACTGTTCCAAAGGCCTTAGAGGAAATACCTCCACTTTTGCTTCTCAAATATTGGTGGAAGAGCACTCAAATACTGGATGCTTACTATAATGGACTACGGTATGGGACTGATCAATTTACCAATGTTGTATATAAAAGCCATCGTCGTGTTCCTTTGGTCTAAGTTTCTTGTTAGACAGCCTCTGTCAACATAAACATCTTTTTACAATTTGAAAGGTATCAACTTATATTACAGATATCCTCTTGGGCCATTCAAAGCACTGAAAACTACTGCAAATCTAGCCAGGGTGAGTTGTGATTCTTTGGATATTATTATAGTACGATATCATTGCATCTTACTAATCATGTCTTGGCAATTCTTGGTTGAATCCCGATCGGTAGCAACGGAATTCCCGTTTCACCGGAGGTCCCACCTTTAGGCACTTTAGGGTTTACCGGTACGGTGCAGGACTCAATTGCCCACCATACCACACCTCCAATAAGACCACCATAAATCACAACGAACTTCCGGTGAACTTGGGAGAGTTGTTTGGATTCCCAGTCGGTCCACACGTTACCTAATCGAGTGCAGCATGATAGTTAACCTACCCACCGAACACCGACCATCCGACCGGAAACTTGGCACTGGGGAAAGACCACTCGATCAGGAAAGCGCTGCATTTTCCCCCTCCAGAGACATGACTGCGGCTTGTGTGATAGTGAGAGAAAATTTGTTGAAGCAACTTCCTTTTTGGAAGGAGGATTCCGCAAGGGGGAGCTGGGCAAGACAGTTGCTAGAAAGACTAGAGGTACTCGAGTACAGGCAGTTGCTGCAAGAGAATCCGCTGTGATATCATACTTGGGGATGTCCCAGATATGAGGAAGCAGCACCCACCTTAGAGGTATGTGCACGGGTCAGACTGGGTGGTTTTCTGCTATGATACCATACACATGGATTAGCCAGCATTATTTCAAGCGTACGCTGCCGTAACTTTTCTCTTTAGTGTGATACCGGTATGAACACCAAATTGTTACCTATTCCCTCCCAGGGTGAGACTTTCAGCGAGCAAATCACCCACGCCTAAATTGCAATCCATCCAGCGAAGGAATTATGATCCATTACCGTACGGCACAAAAACCTAGACATGGAGGCAAGTGTAATGGTTGGGTTACAGTAGTTCCCACTACAAGTAGTACTAGGCCTGCAGCTGCCGTTCGAATGTGTAAGCGCTGGTAGATGGGAGCCCCGCTCTCGCAGATCTGGAAAAAACACTGCTCTGAAGAGATACCCTCTACGAGAAGTTGCTGTACTGAACCCACCTCATCCTTGAATCCGCCGCCGAAAATCATAACTCAAAAGTCTCCGAAGCTGCAAGGACCATCCACCTCGAAACTGAGCGCCGATTGTTATTTATCCTTCACTAACGGGACCCAGAGATAGCGAGCTATCACGGCCACAACTTTACACTCCCCCCTTAACCCACAATACTCGTGAGAAAAGAAATGGCAGAGCCCTTCTCCTTGGCCGCCAGCGGTTTGGCCCTCATTCACCTCGGCGCGAAGGTTTACCAGCTTTGCGACGACTACTGCGATGTAGTCAAGGAGAGCCAACAAGATTTTAAGAAACTGGGAGACGAAATCAGGAGTATTGACCAACAGCTGAAGGAAATACGGAACCTTGCTGAGCAGGGCGATGGGAACAACCCGAAATACCCTGAGCTTCTCGAGTGGACAAAAAATGAAAGTTTGGAAGACTATAAGACTGCCCTGGAGGAGCTGAAGGACAAGTTAGATGTTTCGGGATGGAGGAAATCCTCCAGGAAATTGGCTTGGCCATTTCATAAGCCCAAAATGGAGCGTTACTTGGGCTTGGTTGAAAAGCAGGGACTGAAGCTTCAATTATTGTTAAATACCGCGACAATGTAAGTTACCCATTCCTCAGTGCCCTGAGAATTCAACTTCTCCACTTCCTCCACTTCCTCTTTTCTTTTTTTTTCTTTTCAGTTAGCGAGGCTAACTAGTTTGTTTAGGAAGACAGTAACAAAGATGTCGCGAAAACAAGATGGTACTTGGTCACAGTCACATTATCCCTAACCCTTCCAATTATTTTCTTACTAATATCTCACACTTCTAAAACCACAGAGAATGAATTCCGCGAAGTACAGAGATGGCTTAACGTCGTTGATCCTGCCACAAATTTTTCATCTGCACTTGCTGTCCGTGAACCCGGTACGGGGAATTGGCTTCTGGAGGGACGCGATTATATGGACTGGAGGGAAGGCAGTGGGGGAATTCTCTGGCTCCACGGAATACGTAAGTCTATGGATGAGTGAAATCTTATGCTCCAAAGAATGTTATTAACATTTCTGTCTTGTAGCTGGATGTGGCAAGAGTGTCCTTAGGTGCGAGCCTAACCGCATGTCCGGAGGTGCAATATAACTTCTTTTACTGACTAGCATTTAGTGCTACCGCCATTGAAGATGTCAAACGCCTATGCAGCATGAGCGATGATCACGCATTGGCCTATTTTTACTTCACCTTTAGTGACTCGCAGAAGCAAAATTTGGCCAATATGCTTCTATCTCTCATTGGCCAACTACTCCGAGCGCGTTCCGACCCACTCTTACCCGATGAGATTATGAATTTATATCACAACTCCAAGGCAATTGGAACGTCACCAGATATAAAAGATCTGCAAACTGCAGCTTCGCACATCACAAAGCTTTCCAAAAAGACCTTTATCATTTTAGATGCCTTAGACGAATTCCCCAAGGACACACGGGGTAGTGTCCTATCTTGGATTGGCGAGGTTGCGGCAGATCATAATGCGGGGTCGCTGTCTATTCTCGTCACCAGCCGTCCCGAGGCAGATATAGTGAAATCCCTAGAGCCACTTACCAATTTTTCAATATCCCTACAATCAGAAATTATCAATGCAGATATCCGGGTATATATACAGAACTCTTTGGACGGTAGGGATGGCTTCAAGAAATTTAGCAAGGAAATTAGGAGTGAGATAGAGGATACACTCGTTACGCGTTCGCATGGAATGTATGCTATATTTCACTTTCCAATTTTTGACTTGTGCTGATACAAGATTTGATATGTTAAGGTTCCGATGGGTAGATTGCCTTCTACGAATTCTTCAGGAATGCCTAACGCCAAAAGCCGTGAAAGCTGCCTTGAAGGAACTGCCGAAAGACTTAGATTCTGTCTATTTAAGGATCCTTGACAGCATTCACGAGACGCAGAGGGAATACATTCAGCGTGCCATGCATTGGCTCGCATTTTCGGCTGAACCATTGACCTTAGGCCAGCTTGCAGAAGCAGTTGTGATCGAATACGATGTCAACAAGTATGGCGAGGATCCAGAAACTCTTTTTGATCCGAACTCCCTCATGAGCATTTGCCCAAGTCTGATTTCCTTCGAAGATGCCCGGGACCATAAACACTTCACCCAGGAAAGCCGGCGATTACGACTAGCTCACTTTTCGGTAAAGGAATATTTGATCTCCGACCGAGCAGCTCAGGGCCCCAGTGCCTACTACCATATTTCGGAGGATAAAGCCAATTTACTGATGAGCCATGCTTGCCTTAGTTGGATATTGCGACATGGTGCTCAAGTTACTGTATCGTCATGGGACCGCCACTTTTCGACGTTTCTCTATCATAGTGCTGCGTATTGGTTCAGGTATATTAAAGCTATCGAGAATATAGCACCTGCCCCACTCTCTGAGGCTGCTCTGAAAGTCCTGGAGCTGGGCAAAAGGTGGCTTGATATATATAACCCCGATCGCGATTACTCGAATGCCCCTCGGGGTTCAAGAGTTTATCCACCAGCCATCTACTATTCTTCATTGCTAAATCTAGTGGTGGCCTATAAATTACTCGTCAATAGAAAAGAGGATGCAGTAAACGTGAACGCTCAGGGTGGTTATTTTGGCAATGCACTGCAAGCAGCGATATATCAGGAAAATGAAACGGTGGCGCGGCTTCTCCTTGAGAGTGGGGCAGAGGTGAATGCTCAGGGTGGCCATTACGGCAATGCACTACAAGCAGCTGCGTATCAGGGAAATGAGTCAGTGGTGCGGCTTCTCCTCGAGCGTGGGGCAGATGTGAATGCCCAGGGTGGCGAATATGGCAATGCACTACAAGCAGCTGTAGAGGACGGGAACGAATCGGTTGTGCAGCTTCTCCTCGAGCGTGGGGCAGAGGTGAACGCTCAGGGTGGCTATTATGGTAATGCACTACAAGCAGCTGCATGTATGGTGAATGAATCAGTTGTGCAGCTTCTCCTTGAGCGTGGGGCAGAGGTGAATGCTCAGGGTGGCGAATATGGCAATGCACTGCAAGCAGCTGCATGGAATTGGAAAGAATCAATTGTGCAGCTTCTCCTCGAGCGTGGGGCAGAAGTGAATGCTCAGGGTGGCAGGTATGGCAATGCACTACAAGCAGCTGCACATAGTGGGTGCGAACCGGTTGCACGGCTTCTCCTCGGCCATGGGGCAGAGGTGAATGCTCAGGGTGGCTATTGTGGTAATGCACTACAAGCAGCTGTATGGAGGGGGAGCGAATCGGTCGTGCACCTTCTCCTCGAGCATGGGGCGGAGGTGAATGCTCAGGGTGGCAGGTATGGCAATGCACTAGAAGCCGCCAGATCTGACCGCAATGAGTCCATTATGCAGCTCCTCCTAAAACATGGGGCAGAAACGAAAGTCTGAATGTTGCCCAATCGCTGCGGCAGGGGTTGTTTACGTAGATTTAGTTACGAGATTATCGATAATTTGTTTCCGATCCATCGCCATATCGACACCAGATCAAGCTATCAACCATTGGTACTGTTCCTAAGAGTATAATAGTACACAGAATTCGGTAGCGCGAAGCCAAGCTTGCTCAGGTATGAGCCGATCCGAGGCAAGCCTTGCAATAGGTTAAGCCGGGTTGAAAATTAACTGGCCCAGCCGAACCCAAACCCGAATAAGACCCAATCTATCCCAACTCAAGCCAATCAAGCGTAATCCAGGTTCATCCAACAAGCCCGTTCGGGCCGCTTGTAGCATAAAGTGGCCGAGATATGCGGTGATTAAAGCAAGTTAGATGTAGAATCGCCTCTTGTTTTAAGCCCTAGTCAAAATGAGAGCATGGAGGGCTAATGCGACTTAAGTTAGTTTGTATATTTCCCCCGGATACTTTTTGAGGGAAAGGTGTAAAACGATTCGCATCCCAAGCGCCTGGACCCGCCACCCCGTCATGATATATCACTCGCCCCCATTACTGGGGAAAACAGCAACTGTCGGGGAGGGGCTCGCGGCTGCCACGATATATCATTCTCCCCCATGAAATGAACGTGTGCCGTCAAGCTTACTATCCGCTCTCCTCTATCCAACCCTCGAAATATTTCCGAGGACAGAATCCTCTATATATAAATCTATCCCTCTTCATCTAGGACATGGCCAGCTCCGGCTTACCATATATTGCTCCCACGGAGTCGCTGGTATTGTGCTCCCCCTGGTTGGCATAAACTCTCTCCTTTTATTTTTCTGCCGCCCCATCTGCCGCTTCTAGAGCGGTTAATGGATATTCTAGGCTCACCCCTCCTTTCCGGGCTTCTCGATTGATTAAGTGATGCCGTCTATTTTTTATGAAATTCTACCCCCCTTATTTACCATGCGGTTATTCACCTAAGTGCTTTCCCGAGACCGTGGTTCCCGCCCAAGCTCCTTATCGCTGCTTGAGATCGCCATCCCCGCCTCTTTTTTAGCCTTGGTGTACTGTACTAGCCTACACCCCTTTTGAGCCTGTATCACCCACGAAATGCGAGTCTGAACTCATGGCAAACTTTACTTAAGCGGGATCAATCACCTATGCAACGAACACCCCGCTTGGGGAGTGTTTTGGTATTACGGGAGCCTGGATAGAGCTCTTTATCAAGGGGTGTCTTCGTGTCTGACGTGGGGTTAGTCGGTTGCCTGTAGGGTACTGGTAGTTCCCCTCCATTCCCCAGCCTAAATCTTTGCGGCCTCATGAGACAAACCCGAATCCACGCCACGATCAAAGATGATTAACGAGGCTGCTCGTAGGCACTTACTCCTTAGCTCCACTTTTTTATCACATCTTCCTTTGCTGTGGCTAGGATTTTCTCCCCCGCTCATTCTTTTATATCCCGAAAGCTTTGGATGTGGATCCGGTCACCCCTGTCATCACTGTCCTTCCCAGAGAACTGAGCGTAATAAATAATAAGTTAGACCAGAATTCCCTCATATGGTAACTTCTTTTAATAAGTCTCTTAACCAGCATTACAGTTTCGATCACATCCATAACTGTCACTTTTTTGTGAGAAAGTTGGCCCTGGCTATAGTCTTCCGGAACCATATCACAAGGAAGAATATTTCCGGGCAAAGCAGCTAAAAGTGCAGAACGCTACGGTGAGGCGAAGGCCACCGGAGTACCTCTTCCATACACCGCACCGCCCATGTATCGCACGAGTGCCATATATGTGGCACAGCTTTCAACAGAAAGGATAACCTCAACCAGCACATGAAATTTTCCACAAACCGCTGCAGAAAATTACAGGAGCGTCTCATAAATAATATGGGAAGTGCCCGAGTCGAATTCTCAACCAGGAGTAATGAAATACATTCACTACCAGGGCCATCTCTCCTCGAGTTTGAATCCCAACCGTCTAGTCTTCCAAGGAATAATCCTAATTCTGGCAGAGTTTCGAAGTTATAACCATTTACGATCCCACCTCCCAGTTTATCGGCGCTCCCTTCCCCGACTCCCCCGAGGGCTACGCCAATATATTGGACCACACCGATAATCGCCGCGCGCTGAGCCAGACAAGTGACGATACAGGACGCTGCTTCTGTCATGTCGGGCCCACTCTTTAGTGAGCTCCTGGAGGGGCATGGTGTTGGGAACAGCCTGGCAAAAATTCTGGCAAAAAAAGGTCAAGGTGTTCGGGTCTTTGCAAGCCTCCCCGCCAGGTATTTTGGCATTTTGTTGGGGGACGGCAAATTGTATTTCTGAAACCCTTGAGTTGTTTTTTAGGGAGTTATCATACAATCCCAAATATATTACCTAAGTGTTTAACCTTGTTTTTCTCATATCACACGGGAATCAAGAATGTACTTTTTCCAACTCTCTCACCTCTCCCCCTCGGCAAGCTACGCCCACCATGTTTTCTCCCCCCACCCTCTTTTTAACTTTTAATTTCCTTTTCACCTTGTTCTTCCCAACTTCAACCCCACATTCTTTGTATGCCATGTCCAACTTTTCTCTATTCTTCAATTCATTGCCATTGCTTCTCTATGTAGCATAGGTTAGGCGCCGCTAGTGGTAGCTACGATTCCCTCACGATATATATGAGTAATATACCCCCCCCCCTCCCCCTGAGAAGGACATGTACCGCCAAGTGTAGAATCTACTCTTTTCAGAATAATGACCAGACTTGTTCCGTAGAACCCTTCCTTTTGATTATATCCATTCCGTAACTACCCTGGAACCCTGCCTCCCATTCGCCATGCTTGGTCCCACTGCGCTGCCAGTATTGCACCGTCTCTACTTCTTGCGCTCCCTTACCTTTCCGGCTGCTGCACAAGGAGACAGAGGAATACCGAGCGCTTTGTTTACTTAAGATTGCTGCCTGTGGCGGGGATAGTTCGTGGTATCATTCCAGGAGCTCTAGTACATTTCCTTTCCCTATCAAAAACTCGATATTCACAAATCGGGGCTTGTGGCCCAGAAATTTCTGCAATAAATCGTATTCCGAAGGTCTTGCGTGCCAGTAGTATTTTTCCTCTCTCTCGCTTGCATACCCCCTTATCCGCCAGGCCAAACCAATACCACCGATTCCCCCTTGTATGTGGGAGCATACTAGCATGAATGTTCAACCCAAGGGGAGAAACGACCAGAGTTACTAACCGAAACATTAACAAAAATTGTCCTGCTCTGTAAGGGCAAGTTGGCGAAAGTCAAGATCCCCCTCATGACCGTTTTCGGATACAAGTACCATTCGAGTCCCCGCCACTCCCCGCAGGAGGCCGTCACAACAAAGAGGGAAGGGGGTATGGGGAATGCTGTCTACGATTCCTCCAAGTTGCTACGATAGGGGAAAGGAAAGGAAAGGAAAGGAAAGAAATTAGAAAACCCCCTTACCACTCCCGGTTTCCGGCCCTTCCCATCTCAAGTATGATATTTCTCTATCAAACTATAATTATTATTAGTCACAGTCCAACCCTTAGTTTAGTACTTCCAACCACTAGTTCTATATTTATCACTACCCTATTCTCTCTGAAATTCTCAACGGCATTCACTGACCACTCAATCTTTTGTAGACCCATCCACCTTGGCTTACCACAGATTATGTCCGTACTTTGCGACACGGGATCAATCCGACCAAAAATCCTAGCAAAGATGCCCCCTTCCTTCATTCCCCTTTATATCATACCATGGCCTTTTTCTCTCTTTCAAACCACAACGCCCGAACCTTTTGCAGTCTCCGTGCCACATTAAGCCAATCTGCACCTCCGGCACGAGTGCCGACAGCCATTCAGGACCTTTTAATAATTTATAGAACTACCCCCCCTCTCCCCACACAAGCACTCTCGATACTACATCCGACAACTAACTCCTACTCCCCAACTCCCCCATTCAACCCTTACGAACCCGGTAGCTCAACCGCCCAAGGCTCCCCGTCGCCACGTACCCCCAGTGCCCTCGGCGTCACCCAAACCCCGTTTTCTCACGTTCCGAGACCTGCTCTGCGCCCTACGTATGATAGCAAAAACCTTGATCTTTCTTGATACCTTTGCCTCAGGGTGGTGATGCAGCTTGTGCGGTTACCGGGGAGTGGGGATATTCATATTCAGTCGAGAACCTTGCAATACAGGTCTGAAGTGTATAAAGTGCGTAACAATCTAGAAGCTGTTACAATTATACAACTATATAAGAGCATGCGTGGAATGGGTTTGGGGGGGTTGAGAATCTAGCGGATCATTTTCAATGCCCGTATTCATTTACCGATTTCCTTCCCCCCGCTTCTTTGGCATCAGGTTGCGGCTACTGCGGAAGTGGTTTTGTCATAAAGCATGATGTGAGGCTTTTCCTTACGCTTCCTCGACTTTCCACGACAATGCCTTCACATTGACTAAGACATTGAATATTTCTTTCCAATCAAGCAGGCTGGAATCCGCAGGAGCTCAATTTACGCTACAAATCGCCGCAGCGCACAGGCGCACGGACGGATACAAGGTTCCCAAAGCCATTGCCCCATCCGCAACAACCCACTCCAAACGGAAAAACGCTACGAGTGATAACACATGACGTGATCTTCCTTTTTACTCTCCTTCCTCCCCCTCCTTCTTCGCATCCCGCGCTCCACTCCCCAGATTAACCGCCCCCCTCAAGCCCCCGAACGCCAACACCTCCGTGATCCTTTCGGCCCCCGCGAAGATCATAACCAACCGATCAATACCGATTCCCCACCCGCCCGTCGGCGGCAAGCCCCACTCCAGCGCTTGGCAATAGGCCTCGTCGACCACCCCCTTCCCGTCCTCCCCACCCCCGATAACATCCTCGTCCTTCCACCCGGCCTGCATAACAAATTTGCGCCTCTGTTCCGTCGGCGAGTTCTCCTCTTCATAGGCATTTACCAACTCTTTCCCGCCCACAAAGAGCTCCACGCGCAAGGACACACGCTGGTTGTGCACCAGGCTGGTTTTTGACAGAGGCGAGAGGGCTTCGGGGTGGTTTGTTATGAACGTTGGTGCCATGCATTGCGGTTCCAAGTACGCCGAGGAGAGTTTGCCGAGGAGGCGGGGGATGGTTAGTATTGGAGGTGGGGGGAGGGAGAGGATCTTGAAGAGGGAGAGCAGTTCTAGCGTCACAACCTCGGTGCTCCCGTGCAAAATGGGCAATTTGTGTCCCATAGCTGCCTCCAGCGTCGGGATAAACTCAAGTCTTTGGAAGGGCGCCGTGAAATCCGTTGCTATCTCTGGGAGGTCTTTCAGTTTGGTCGCTTTCAACTCCAAGACCCTCCGTGCCATGCCAGAGAGCAGCTGTTCCGTCGTGCTGATGATGTCTTCCAGTCCCATGTACGCTTGGTAGAACTCGCACGTAGTGAACTCGGGATTGTGTGTGTTGTCGATCCCCTCGTTGCGAAATTGCGCGCCTATTTCAAAGACACGGTCTAGGCCGCCGATTACTAGACGCTTCAGCCATAGCTCTGGGGCGACACGCAGGGTCAGCTGCTTGCCGCGGTAAGTACTCGTGGCCTCCGTTAGGAAGGGCTTTGCGACCGCGCCGCCAAAAGTATCTGACAGTATCGGCGTCTGGACTTCTACGAAGTCACGTGAGATGAAGAAGTCACGGATGTGTTGGATGATGTGCGAGCGGAGTCTGAGAATTTGTCCGGCTTCCGGCCGGATCATTAGATCAACATGCCGATTCTGGAAGCGCGTTTCCGGGTCCAAAATTGCTTGTGGGGGGGCGTGGAGGGAGGGAGCAAGGAGTTGTAGATGCGCCGTCGCAAAGATAGAGAGCTCGCCGGCCTTGGTACGGCCCGGATACCCCGTCACGCCTTTCCCATACAATTCCGTCAGCCCATAAAAACAATAATCACGTTAAGGAATAGACAAAGACTAACTAACGACGTCACCAATCCTCGTCAGCATCGAGATCCTCCTAAATTCCTCCCTCTCCCCACCGACTCTCGCGCAGTTAACCACAACCTGCAACTTCTCCCCGTCCTGGACGAGATCGTAAAAGATCAGTTTCGAGCTCACATCCCGGTAATTCCTGATTCTGCCTTCGAAGCGTAACGGAAAACCCAATCTCATTATTACAATAAACAATAAATACAGGCACAAAATTCCTCCCCCAACAACGTGTTGGCGGTGGTGATGAAAACCCACCTCTTACGGTCACCAATTGCTCAATTGACACACTCTCATCGCCTCCCCCACCAGTTGCAACGATACGCCCATACTCCCTGCGTATCTCGGCTACGCTCTTTACGTTCATGCCCTGGCTGTCGATGCACGGGTAGAGAGGCACATTGCTATCCTGGAGGTTTTTTCGACGCGCCGAGGGCTGGAGATCTGGCCTGGAGGCTACTAAGGAACGCTTGAAACGTCGGGCTATTAGGGGAGTAAATTGTCGGCAGGTGAAGGTTAAGCGGAAGAGGAGGGCCCGCGAAATAAACATCTGAGAATAACCATTAGCAATTAGCCCCCTTCAACAAAATTAATAACGATGAAGAAGAGGGAAAGAATCAGAGAGAAGATTTGCATCTTAAAGTCACACACTGGCCTCAAAGCCAGCATCATTCGCAACGGTTCTTAAATTCATCTCATCATTTTCTGGGCAGGTTTTAGCAACAGTAGAATCAAACTCAAAACACACCTTTGTTCAAATTGGTGCCCCCACGTTTTTCTTCCTTTCGAGGAGGGGACGCTCTATTAACCGTTGCCGATCGTGCGATGAAAATGAAAAAAAAGGAAAAGAGTGGAGGAAGCGGTTCCCACAAAATTTAAAGATTTCTTGGCCCGTGGCTTGACCCATCCCTGTCCCAGCCCCGCCGTTCCAACTCAAGCCCCACCACCGCCACAGAACCATCGCCATGATCACCGATATTCCAAAGCTCCTTCAACACACACCACCCATTACCGCCAGCAGTACCAGCAAAACAACAAGACCTCCCCAACCACAATCACAATGTCGTTTCTAGGATTCGGCAAGCCCCAGCCAACTTTGGCCGAGAAGATGAACGCGGCGGAACAAGAACTTGAGATGATTACTGATATGTTCAATAGGTTTTACCCCCCCCCCCACCTCTCCTTCTCCTAAACAATATTTTTGTCTCACAACAACTCCAATGCACAGGCTCACCCGATCATGCCACAACAAATGCATTCCAACCGATTACAGGGAGGCGGACCTGAACAAGGGCGAGTCGGTATGCCTCGATCGTTGCGTTTCCAAATTCTTCGACGTCAACATCAAAGTTTGATCCCTCCCAGAATATTACGGCATGCAAATCAAGCTGATCGGGGGTGGGGCGCTGGTGACAGGTCAGTGAAGCGATGCAGAGCCAGAGTCAGGCCATGCGAGGCGCCCAGGGTGGTGCTGGGTTCAGTGCTTGAGTTCTTTGCTTTCCTCCCCAGCGAGATTAGAGGGTATACTATACATTGCAAAGTATCATAATGGGAATGCTGTGAATGGGAAGGAAAGGAAAGTGTGGGTCACAACTTGAACCTAGGATGGAACCTTTTTCTTTTCTTCTTTCTTTCTGTACTATATATGCACTCATCACATATCATCCTCCCCGCGACCCCAGAACAATTGGCGTTTGAAGAGCAGAACACATGATATGTTGCAGTGATCGCTTCAATTCCCCGAATACCTTGGTTTGAACCACCCACCAAAGCCCGAATGGAGTAGCAATACACAAAAAAGGAAAGTAGGAAAGAAAGAATGCCCCACCCCAACTATCCCCCCACCTCCTTACCAAGCGATTAATAAATTAATGGGTACAAAAATGCTACAAAAACAGAAACTCCCACCGCGCCTAGAGAACAACCGACCCCTCCCATACCACGCAAAAGAAATTCTATGTTTCGGAAACAGGGCATCACATATATGGCCCTTCAGTTACCTCCTCCTGATACCGAACACAATCGCAAGTAACCATTCCCCCCATCCCCGCTCTACAGCCTCCCCGAGGCCCAAGGCTCTCTCCTCAACCTCCTCAACATTCCTTCCGAAACCGTCCACTGCGTCCTCCACGTCTGCCATTTGGCCTCGCACGCTGCCTAATTCATATTGCAGCCTAGCGCCCAAGGCCTCCACCTCCCTCACTGCCGCCTTCAGGATCATTGTTTGGCGATCAATCATATCCCTTGTTGCCTCTCCCATTGAATTCACCGCCTCCGATCCCTGGCGTAAGTCACCCTCGAGTTTACCGGCACTAGAGTCCAGATAAGCAAAGATTTTCTCAAGCGTAGCCAACTTGCGATCTGTCCACTCTGAAACGCGGTCGTCCGCAAGTAGGGTTTGGAGGTTTGGAGCATGGCGAGAGAGGGTATCTAGCGCCAAATCGCTTTCATCCTGTTTGTCGTCATGGAGAGAGGGCAGCAGCCCAGTATCCAATACTGCCTCCTCCGCGACTGAGAAACTCAATCTTCTTGGCCAATATTCCTCGTGCCGGACTTCGTAGCGCTTCCTCAGATACTCGGAAAAGCTCTTGTTTCTCTTCCTCCCACACTCTAATATCCTGCCTTCGTCGTAATCTATCCATTGACGTCCTGGCAAGTTTGCATCCACAAACTCCTCCCCGTCGTCATCTTCCTCACCATCCGTTCCTTCTCTATACATGCTCGCCGCGGCGCTGTGATTTCCGACTGCAACACCGCCATCGCCCGACACGACGCTCAAGAAGTTGATATTCCCAGGGCCGCTACCGACGGGACTGTCGGTGTGAAAAGGTAACTTTAAGAAGGAGGTGACAGAACGCTCGCTCGGTCCCTTATGCTCCCCCCCATCCCTCTCCGATTCTCTGAGGCCAGACAGAGGCGTTGCTGTCCCAGTATGTTCTGTCGAATCTTCGTAGACGCCGAAATCCTTCAGATATGATCGCCCGTGGTGCCCACGCCCTCTAACATAATCGGCACCGGCCGAGGCAACATCTTTCATGCCCTTCATTCGCCCGGACATACCCTTAAAAACAGCCTTCCTCAGGTCTGAGATGTCTTTCCCTTCGTTATCCCTTTCCCTTGGCCCAGGGCTTGTCGCAGAGCCCCCACCACAGCTACCGAACGAGTTGCTCGTCGGGTTGCCCACTGCATGATATCCAGCAGCAGTAAATTCTCCGGAATACCGAGTCATGCTCTCATTTTCGCTAATGCTCCCTCCGCCAACACTATTTCTTCTGCTCAAGCTAACTGCCGCCGGCGGAGTCTGAGTGCCCGCACTCCCGCCAACTCCAATGCCAGTAATAGACTGGCTCTTTCGCGGCTTTCCCTGCCACAGGTATTTGCACCGTTCGCCGCTCAAGTGTGAAGAAAACTTCTCTATGTCTACTGTTTCGACGCTGGTCCCCTCTACTTTCGCAGAACTGTTACCAACAGCCCTTCCACCTAGATCAACGACAGTGCTTTTGATAGCCCTCGGGACCGCAAAGATGTCTCCTGACGTTGCCCCACCCCCATTCTTCATAGCAGCCTTCTGTAGTCTATCCATAGTCTCCCTATCTAGTCTCCTAGTCCTAGGTATCCTCTGTTGTCGCTGGAAATGATATATCGCCTTCTTTAACTGCGGCAAATCAAAAGCATCTTTGGGTACCGGAGCGCCAAAAGATGAAAGTCTATTCTTCGCACCGAGTACCATGCCTAGTAATGCGGCAACCGTCGTGGGTCCAAGTGTCCCATCACTCGGCTCGATATTGTAAAACTCCGTACCAAATTCTGTCCACCAATCATATATCCCCCTTTCGGTAATATCGCACAGCAGCCCATCCGCATACTCCGGCTTCAACCTTTCAAATAAAGTCAACGCAACCTGGCACAACCGGACAAGCTCCATAACAGAAGTGTAAAGTGGAATTTTATCCGAGGTTTTATAAAGTTGATGAAATTTCGTTTGACTAGCGTCTGCAGGCATGCGCAAGTTTAAGGCAGACCTCCCCGAGCATCCCATTCTCTTCAAATCTTCATTGACAATAAAGTCCTCCCTATGTAGCCTCACATCTCCATCGGGGACCGGAATGACCGTTAACGCGCTCGGAAATGTCGATAGGTTCGTTACCATGAGCTTCCCATACGGGGTTTCCTTCGGTCGGGCGTGGAAATTGGTAACAGCTCTGAAGTATACGCGTAACCGCGGCGACCACTGGGACTCATCACGAGGTATATTGAGGACGCCGATTGTAATAACATGACTGGGATCGCCGGTATAGGTCGAAACGACAAAGGTAGGGTGAATACGAGAGCAAGCCCACTGTTCGACAAAGTAAACCTCGTAGCCGGGAAGCGTGCGGTGGCGATGTACAACGGTAGTGCAAGTCTCCTCTTCCAAGTAGCGAAAAGCTACCTTTTTTCCGGTGTCAGCATCATGAAGGAAGCTCTGGAGAACCCCACGGGAAATCTTACCGGATCACAGAGAACAAATAGCTGCCCATCCATGGGCAAAGTGTCGGCGTTACCTCCCCCTATTCCTTCCGTTACTTCCATCCCGGCAACTCCACTCCCCTTCGGACCAAAAGATCCATTCAAGGGAGTGGAGGCTCCAGAGGTTTTCCGAGGCGGGGTTTGTACCCGGACATTGTAAGGAACTGGGGAGGCGGCAGCGGAGCTGGTGGGCACAGGGACGGTAGGCATGGTCCACAGCACCCTATCGGTCAACGTCGGTTCAACTGATGTTTGGTCACACGTGCTGTAGATGAAACGCAGCGTCGTTCAAGATCGGGTTCGAGGACAGGAGGAGGGGTTAGCGAGTTCATCGGGGATCCCAAGAATTGCGAGAAGCCTAAGCCAGGGGGTTGTGTTTGTCGATGCGGCGTGGATTAAGGTTGGTCAGATACGGTAATCGAGATGGCACCAGCACACCCTTCACCAGAAAGCAGAGCCGCAAGAAGCATAGAAGAAGAAGAAAACCCATCCCACCAAAAAAGGGAGATATTATAGGCGTTTGGCCGTTTGTTTCCCTTTTCTTCCTCCACGATTTTCCTTCTCCCTATGCCGCGGGATCCAGGCGTTGGAGAAGGCCGTGCCCAAGCAGGGAAAAAGGGCACTCATGATCTATCCGTTCACGTGAAAACAATGCTACCGGTACCCGTACTTGTAGAAAAGCAGTGTGAGACACAAGGAAACCCTGTTCGACCCATTCAGATGGATCGCCGTCTCCTTGCCTTGCTTTGACATCATTGCCAGCGAACAAACAACCTTGTCTGGACTCAGCAGGGGGTGTGATCACGAGCAAGCGTTCGCCGTCCGCCCTCGAATCCGCTTCTCCCAGAATGCATGCATGCCGTGCGCGGGGTCATACTCGAATAATGCGAGATTACTCGAGCACAGTAAAACGGCTGCTCATTCCAGTTTCTTATTGGCAGAATCCTTTTTCTATAATGCCTTCCATTGAATGAGAGAACTTTGTGGTTCGTCTGTGTCTGTGTCACGCCCGGTAATTTACCGTCGGAACTTAAGAGGTTAGCCGCCGGTATTGGGAATTGTGGCCCAATGTACTCGTACGGTACGGTACCCGGAATGCCGGTATCTACCGTAGGCACAAAGTTTCGCTCATGTCCCTTGCATGCCCTGTCCCCAAAACTCCCGAGCACAAAGATTCGGTATTCCACAACTCTGCCCAGAATATCCCTGGATCAACCCTGAGACAGGGATTCTGTGGCAGAATCGCTCCACCGAGTCTACTCGATATTAATAAGCTAGCAGAGCATTAGCTTTAGGTATCGAGGTACGAGCATAGCTCCCCCAGAAAAAGTATCCACCATTCCCACATCCTACCTCAACTCCAATCCACAAATTCAGCAAACGCCAATATCCGATTCGCAACTCCTGAGATCGAGTACTCAGCAGCTCAATAAAAGCCTCCGAAGCAAGGAGCGCAATCCTGGATCCACTTAATCTCGGCTTCAACGCGTCAGTGCATGCAGGAACCTCAAGAGAAAATGGAATCTGCCGAAGTTGGAGACCTAGCCACGTTTCAATCCTACCATCTATCTTTTGTTTCTCGGGACAATTCACTCAGAAATTAGATTATTTGGCCGTGACGCAGTATATCACCACTGACAAAGGGACCAACGCATCACACCGAGTAGTGAGTTTTGTTGTTTTTTTTGTTTTTTTCCCCCAAAAAGAAAATTGAATATCATAGAAATTCTCTCCTAACCAATTCCCAGCCCTCTGTGGCCCCTGTGCTACGCATGTAACCATAGTCATGAATTGCTACCAAAATATAGTTTCAACAACCATCACGAGCATTTCACCTACCCCAACCACGCACTCCCTTGCAGGACTCAAAAGTCCTGGACCAACAAGCCTGCACTATCGGTATGCCCCCTCATAACCTCCCACAGTCACCTTTCCCTCATCATGCATTTATACCAAAACATCGTGAAACAAGAAGACGAGTGACAAATTATGATTACATATAACAAGAATAGAATTTCTTGATCAAGAGTCAACACGGACAAAGCGGCATCTCCAAACCCCGATCCCAGAGTTTCCAATGTAAGATCACTGAAGGGGACTCTCGGCACGCTATCCCCACCAAAACCACAGCTCTAAATACTATATCTCAATCTACACGATAGCCAGGAAGATCATCACCGGAGCGCGCCTATGGTTCGCTGCATCGGTCCAGAAACCTCTATGATATTCGTATTATCTAGCAGTTCTCCCACTAAACCAGCCCTTTCCTATCACGAACTAGCCATCATAATATTATCATGTAATACCCGGAACTCCCATGCTACGTTCGCCACCCCGAAACCCCAATGTTTAACCCCCCGATCACGGAAGCCACAAAGTGCCGAGTGACGGGCGCATAAGATACTCGTAAAAAAAAAGACCACCCGGAATCAAAATGCACTACGGCAGCCAAATCTATCGAAAAAGCTAATCTACGAGTACTGTTCTGTGCTGGACCAAACTATCAAAAAAAACGGTATCTACCGAACAATAAATGGCCCGATAGGTTTATCCACGCTGAATCCGAACCCTGGTGAAAAGAACGGAGGAAAGAATCCGGATTAACTTATGATACTCAAGACATCATATTTCGCTTCACGTGCAATTGAGGCCCCGGGGGGGGGGGGGGTATACCCTAGTATTGGGAGCAATTCCTAAAGTCTTTTGGTTTAGTTTCTACCGGGATGGTTGAAGGATACGGATGGATAAGTCAGCTCTCTTCAGGCGTGGAAGACCTGGTGGGCGCCATAAGTAAGACCCTCCGTCTAAAATCCTTAATCTGCGGTGTGGTCATTGATGCTCACTCGTTTTTGATTCCCACCCTTCTATCATGTCCTCGAGCGTTTCGGGAAGCTGAGCACGTGAGCGCGCGCTCAGTCATCGCGGTGATTTGCGATAATATAAGATGCAAAGGCTGAGCCATCTTCGAATCACCCACTACCCTTGCGATGAAAAAATTAGAGACCTTCCGTTAGTCTTCTAGCCTTCTAGGCTACCCCCCATCCCTGGCAATTCTGCTGTCATCCTACTTCCTGCATAACAACCCAGCCGCAGCAGGGTGATAATGTACCGTACCATACCAGTAAAGTATCATACAGAAAACTCTAATTAAATTAAGAAGTATCAACAACAGCCTTTGCACTCCTCGGTACCTCCGTCGCCGTGGCCATCCCCATCCGCAGCGGAGCGCCGGAGCAGTCTGCCGTATCATAGCCGCTGCGCACCATGACTTAGCCGGGGGGGGTACGATACAAACAGGCGCGGTGCGTTGCCACACAGAACTCCACAACCCTACGAGTAGTATCCACTCGAGTCAAGCTATGATAGCAAGCAAGCAAGAAAACCCTGGGCTGGGCTACCGGTAGCCAATCCATTGGTATCCCATAATCTCCGAAAGTTCCACCGAAAAAAAAAAAGTGCAAAATCAGCCCTACCGTACACCCCACAAGTCCACGTTACCCTAACTGCACTGCACATTCTAAGCAGGCATATGTCTAAAATAGTAACAAACCCTGTCCAGATCATCCTATCCCACCCCTCTACCCCCACTCCCGGTCTGCTTTAATCACTCTCTGGTCCAGCGGTAGCCCAACGCTCCCTTCGAGTCAGCTAGCCAGTAAGCGGCGGCGCAGACGGACAGAATCCGAAACGCAAGCGCGTTAGGCCGGTCGGTCGGATAGGAATGCGGTGCACGGCGCGCTAGGAAGATATCAAGGAGAATGCCCCCCCGGTGACACCATCAAATCAGTTGTGTGTATCGCAGCTGGCTGGTTGCACGTGAGGGAAGGAAAGGTTTGGTTCGGAGAGCTGGCGACTGTTTACTTGTGCGCTGCGTTGTGTGCGTATCACAGCAAAAAAGAGCTCTTTGCTGTCCTGTTCCGAGCCCGCTTCAAGCTTCAGCTAGTTGGCGATCTGTAGTAGAATTCAGCTTTGGCGTTTTTCTTACTAGAGGGCGGTTGGCCCTTGTGCAATAGTACCGATTCCGTAGGCTAGGGAGGATGATAGTGGATTTCACGGAGGTGGTCGCGTGGCGAGCTGGCTCCACATTGGGGTGCGGGGGGGACGGAGATCTCCGGCGCCGCACTCCACCGAGATTTTGTAGGGGATTTACCTTGCTTACAGATGCGCGTGATGTTCTGTGATCACAGTAACTAGAACTGGCGATTCTGGGTTCACAGGACGATATGCCATAAAATTCTACAGCGAGCGAGTTAAGCTTCCATCTAGCCCTAGCCTCAACGGTGTAGGTGGGTGCAGGCCGATTAACCAGCGATTCAATTTACCGTATCCGTTTTAGAGAAGGTATATCGTACATTATGCTACGCTACGCAAGGTCGAGCGGCATTTATGGGGAAGGGTAGATACAGCATAGTACAGGCCCACGGGGAGGGGCGCGGTGGCAGCGGTAGTAATTAAAGCTATTTATTATTTCTCTTCCTTTGTAACCCCCCTGAATTGCGCCCTCCCATCGTTGGGTTCTCCTCCCCGGCTGCACGTCTTCTACCTAGGCAATCGAACTACCGAGTAAGGAAAGGGAGTGGATGGGTGAGGCGAGTTGGCTGGTAATGGCGCGTGGGGGAAGGGAAATAGGAGGGGAAGGGGAGGAAAGGAGAGGGGATGGATGGGGTAAAAAGAAAATAACGGAGAGCGAGGGGGGAAAATAAGATAGGAAAAAGAGAAACAATGGCTAAAGAAATTCAATCAATGTCGAGAGCATATCCTTGATAACCTGTTGCCACTCGTCTGATGCTTCGGTCATGCCATCGATTTGTTCTAAGGATGATCGTTGGTATTAGTATGTTATGTTATATCAGTATGATTGGCTTTTAGCGGTGACTGGGAAGTTTTACCCTTAAGTGTCCTCCTGACATCCCTCAGGCTGCCACCAGCCCTGCCCAGCAGCCCACTAATCCTCTTCTTAGCACCATCATCTTCAGCGCATAACCAGGCGAGTATTCGATCCGTCATCTGTTATTATCAGGCACCCACACACACATAGGGCATTTGTATTAGCCCCTATATGTTCCCGCTCATATCATATTCATATCGGATCATCCCCTCAATCGAATCAAGGATAAGGGGTGTACACAAACCTGTAGACAAAACAGCCCAGCATCCAATCTCTTGGAGAACCACTCCTCGGCCATCTCTTCCTCCTCAGCGACTGACCCCAAGTCCTTCCGCTGGGCGTCGATCTCTACGTCTACTTTGGCCATCCGTAACGCGTAGCCGGTGCGCAACTTGATCAATTTGGCAATCTTCTCGTAGTCCTTTTCAACAAACTTTGCCAGCGTTCTGATGCGTGAGGCCGAGTCGGCTGGTAGGTGCATCAATAGGGCAGCGAATATGCCAAGCAGATGTTCTGTTGTCTGGCTGTCTTGCTGTAACGAATGGAAAAATGAATAGATTAGCATACAATCTGCATCGGCTGACAAATGAACCGGTTTGTTTTGGAGGTTTTACTTTCTTCATGAACATGCCGAAAATGGTCTTGAGCCCTGCCGCATCTACAAGTTTCTGGCAGACGCTTGCCCCGGATTGGCCTCCGAGAGCGTGATCCAATAATCTTAATGCTCTGGGTTTGCTCATCTTCCCCTCGCGTAGCATGATCAGGACTAGTTCCACCCCCTCTGAGTCAACAAACGCCTCTTTGCCTTCAAACCCGTCGACTACACAGGTCACACAGTCGAACACATTCTCTACGAATTCCTCTTCATCTCCACCTTTTACTGGATCACGCTTTCGATATGGCGACAACAGTTGCAGAAGTATATCAGTTCCGTTGAGCTCAGATAGTTTTTTGCGGTTAGCTGGTGATGATTGTAGGAGAATTGCCAGCAGCTCCGCCGCGTATTGCTTGTTCTGAGAGATTGGTGATTCACGGGCCTGGATCCTCTGCAGCAAATATGGGGTTATGTTCGTTTCGCGAACCATTCGTTCCGCCAGTGATTGCTGTGATGCGAGATTCTCAAATACACCTAGTTGCATAGAAATCAGTAGGAGTTTCCGAAGTCGCAATGTGATTGCCTAATTGGGTTGATTTTGTTACTCAAGGTATGATAGACTCCATTCCTATCGCTCTCATTTCCTTCGTTAAGACGCGAAAGATTTTGCGTCAGCATCTCTAGAAGTTGGGCTTCTATCATTCCATCTACTATCGCATTCCACTGCTCTGGTTCGGCCTCTACTTCATCGTCGGTTAGTTCGCTAATCACCTCGACGACGTCGATCGCTATGTCGGTGTTTTCATGAGCTAAAAGTCCCACAAGGCTAGCTAGACAACCCAGTTTCCGAAATTCCCCAAACAATTCCGGATGTTCCGACAAGACCGAGAGTCCCTTTATATCAGCGTCAAGGTCTGCTTCAGAAGCCATGAACCTATTTCGTATATTAGCAATTGATACCAAGCTACCGTAAAGGCGCAGGGGGAAAAATTTACTTGTGCGGATCATCTTCGTACTTCCCTCTCATCTCGGCATTTTTATTAATCTTCTTCTCGAACCCTAATGCCATACGCCGCAACCACGCCACATCTATCTTTTCGGCGGCAGCCGTATCATCTCGGTCCCGCTCATCCATAAAGTCCAATATCTCAGCCGTTTTCTTATTCACCCCTCCGCCAAAGAATCTACCACCCTCCTCATCCTCCGGCTCCTCTTCCGCATTGTCGAAAAAGTTAGCGGGTAATGCTGATGGGCTAGCTGTGTCATCAACGTCATCCTCTTCCACCGTTGCTGCGTGGGATTTCCCTTTGCCGTTACTTGGAGCTTCCAGCTTGGCAGATTTGTAGGCGGCGACTATAAGGCGGGTTAGAAGATAGAGGTCGGGAGGATAGAGTTGGGATAGGAAGGTGGACCTGGGTCGACGGACGATTCTAATTTTCGCTTCTTGGAGCTATTAGAAGAGGAGGAAGGGAGTGCCGGTTTCTATACAGTTGTCAGTTGGTCGCTGCGATCGATCGGTGAGGTAGTGGAAGCCGCCCAAAGAACGCGAACCTTGAAAAGACTGTCCAAACTCGCCATCTTTTACTTGAGACCTTAGGAAATTGTTGCTAGTGGGCGGACAAAAGAACTCCGTAAGGGGGGGCGTAATTGAAAGTCGAAAAGACGAAAAGGAGAAAGGGCGTTCAGGCGTTGGGGTTGAGAGTTCGTGTTAAGTGACAGCAAGCGAGCAGACAAGGTTGAAGAGAACGAGTTGTGTGATTGTGCTGGTGAGGAGGCTCTGGATCTAACGTTCCTCCCGCAAACCACTCTTTTCTTTTTCGTTCCTTGTTTCACCCGAGAGAGGAGGGCAAGCCGTTATCGGGACCGCGGCTGAAGCAGACGTCAAGGCTCAACGTTATTCCGCGAAACACTGCAAGCCTCCGATTTTCTTTTCGCTCGGCTGGAAATAAACAGAATATAAAGAAAGAGAATCAAACAGGATAAAAAGAGGTAGGATATGGAAATGAGCTCAACTCTCTCAATCGCTATAGCCACCCTCCAAGGCGTAGGATGGCACCGACTTGACTTGAAACTTGTTCTCCGAGCAATAGAGACTATCTCACAGTATCTCTTTCAACCTTCTCGGGGAAAATTAAATCCCGTGAAATGAAATGGATGGAAAATCAGGAAACTAAGAGGGAAAGCAATGACAGTATAAGAATAAACCCCTCGGGAATGAGGGTGAGAGAGTGTATAGAAGAATCTGGGCAGGAAATGAGATAGAAAGAGGACTTGGGAGAGAAGTAAGAGAGATCAGGAACGGGGATCCCTTTTTCTCCCCTTTTACACAGGTACAGGCATCATGGCTGCTTAGTTACACATCTTCCCCTCAACGTCCCCTCATAGACAAAGGGAGGCGAAAATGAAGAAGGAGGAAAATAATAATAATAATAGCAAGCGAAGCAGACAAGCAAGCAAGCAAGCAAGCGAAAGGGGACCTGCAATTGATGACGTGGATTCATTCAGCTCTTATCCCGTTTCCATTTTGTTCCTCTCCTACCCTTTAGTTCTCTCCTCTCTCCCCCTTCCCCCTTCCCCTTCCCTCTCTTCCCTCTCTCCCCTTCTACTGAGCGCATAATTTCTCATCCATTCAACCCACCACAAGACTCCCCACCCTTCCTGATCAGCCCTGATGGGAGGAATTATACTTATGTTAAAATACCCTTTGGCAATTTGTTACAGTAACGATACCTTATTACGAGCTATGATACAGCGCAGTACGGTACAAGTGTACTGTACTGTATCATACTCGACCGGGTTACGGCTGGTATACCGGTACCGGTATCCAGAAGGGGGGATACCCTAACCCTCAACGGTTCCGGCCAAACTCTCCAGTTTGTCCCCTGCGCAGTACCGTACCGTACCTTTCATTTATCCGAAACCTCAGCCCTTCAGATCGATCATCCGATAAGTCAAACCTCGTTTATCTCTCGTATATAAGGTGGAAAACTCTATATATCCCTCCATTTCCTTCCATTCAATTGCCTTTCTTCACTTCATCTTTGAAATATATCGTCACTACGGGGCTCCTTTTTTCAAGATCTTCGTCATATATTCCTTCCGCTATACCGATATCTCTTCCTGTTCCCTATTTAAATTTTGCTCGCTGTCTGAATTGTTGCAGTTTCAATGGTTGGATTGGGGGAGCAAGTGAAGAATAAAAAAGGTACAAGTTATCCATGATAGTCATGTTACAGGGTGTTCATTAACGTATAGCAGCACGTGATCGTTAGTGTTATCAAACCTGTCATTTATTAGTTCTATTTCAAACACGGTTTCCAGACACCTGTTGCTAACCACGCGGTCGAAAGCTTCCTGCGTCGAGGAGAAATGGAAAAGGGAAAAAAAGTAGGTGGTGTAATCATCGCAGGCAGAGAGCACCCGAAACCCCGAAATGGAAAGTTATAATAAGGAATGAGAAAAGAGGGTGTCCGAGAGTTGAGGATAATTTGTTTGGAGCAGATAGATAAGTCAGGGTACTTCTCCCCTAAGACGAGTGGGGGTTCGATTTCTCCCCGCAGAAAGAAGGGAGACTATCATGGGGAAGGGGGGGGGGACGATCGAGAGTGTATGAAGTACTCGTAGCGGTACTCGAGAAGATATCTGCTTCCCGCCAAGATCGGGAGTCTTGTCGCGGAAGAGAAGGTCCGGAATCGGGGAGGGGAAGTGCAGAGAGGAAGCCTGTGAGATTCGGTTGAAATGAGAATAAGCTTACACAACGCATATTGTGTTAATAGGATACTGAAACCTGGTAATTGTCCAGTTCTCACTCGAACGATCGTCAGACTCCCCCGATCACCGTGAAGCGCTCTTGTGGCAGGTTCCCAACGCTGAAAAAAAGCGGAAAGGAAAGCCTTACGCCGATAATGCCGACATTTCCAAGCATTCTTCACCAAGCGGCGCGAATATATTCGTCAGATAGACCTGAGTGGTAGCGGTCGGAGCTGTAATGACAGTTCAGCATTCAACTTCTTCCACGGGGCACCTACCGATTTCATCGTAGAGAAAAGGGAGCGCCCGACTCGTCTTTCCTCCCGTATAATACAGAAAAAAGAAAAAAGAAAAAGAAAACCATTACACCCTAAAAGACTAAGGGAATAAACAAGATAGTAATGATTTCTAGGGAAAACATAATTAAGAACTTAGCAACTCACCGCCACTGGATATGATCATGATGAATTCAAGAATTTTATCACTCGGATCAATCCAGTTGGTTCTTTTCTTCAATTGTGTTGCCCAAGCGATGCCGATAATAGGACCTTATCCTCTCAGCATCAGCCAACATTCCATTGGCCAATCGAGCAAACCTTCCCACCCCCCACTACTCACAACCCACAACCGCGGAACCTAATCACCCACCCAATCACCCACCCGGTGGGCCTCACGGCTTGAGGCGAAAAAAAAAAAAAGAAGCTCACCAACACCGTACAGTGCCGGTCACATGTAACCTGGGTACTTTTGCAAAAAATTATTCCCCAAGTTTGATGGCCTACTACTCCATCAAAACATGACCTCTCACCTTTTTAAGAGCGAAACCATACACTATATGAGGTGCTCTATCAGCGGTCGCTCTTAGACCTGTGAAAGTCCAACAGGGTAGGGAGGAGTAAGAGTTTGAAGTTAGGACAATTTATATATAAGGTGGAAGAAATGTTACAGGAAAAAGAGGGTTTCGAGGTGCTAGGAATACTATTTGAATCATGAGATATCACTCGTATAATATGTCTGATATGTTTAAATGATCAATTCTACTGTCTTCCAACTAGGAAAAAAATAAGGAGCTGTTTGGTACAGTGACAGTCACGGTTGAGTGGGAAACCCACTTAAACTGTAGTTTTAGTGGGTTTTCTACTTAACCATTACCAGAGCCTGAGTAGAAACCCCACTGAAACAATAGTTTAAGCAGGTTTACTACTCAACTATCGCTGTACCAAACAGCTTCCACTACTCATACCTATATAGAGATATACTACCTATCCACATCCTTTTCCTTAACCTTCCAGTAACTTTTATATGCATGATTTTGAAAGTCACGGTCCTTCATACTATAAATGTATCTATCACAATAGGCATCTACAGTATGAAGCCATTTTGTATAAAACCTCCATATAGTTGAAATAGAACAATTAGATAGTACTTGAGGCACATTTTCCTATAGCCCCTCTCCTCCATCTTGTAATCACAATTTTCCCTTACCTCATACTTTACATATTCCCAAAAATCTATGAAATTTAATTCACAATGAAAGCGGGGATAAAAGAGAATAATATGTCCTCTGGACTCTAATTCTTCTTGTAGCTTACCCTTTTGTGTAAGAAAGTCTCTCTGCAAACTCAGTATACATTGATAGCAATAGTCAATACTTTTTGGCATACAAATTTATTTTCCTTTAGAATTCTTACATATAGCTTTCAGCTTAGAGTGATAGAGACCATGCTCTATTAAGATTTGCTTCATTCCTTTTAGAAGTCCTCTTAGTGCTGGAATACTATAGTGGTCAGGAAAGGTCATTGGTTGAAGTTGACCTTTAGACTCGGAGTAAATAAACCCTTCTCGCATCACTGGTTGTTTCAAGTTTTCACCTGGCTTGAAATTCATTCAATTAGCCACTAGTGCATTATCTGCATAGGCTGAGTGGTTTGTTGCATTGTCAAAGAGTCAGATACCCTGACATCTGGGAAATGCTACTTCAAAGATTGGAAGAGCAATCTTAAGAGTATAGCGTACCATCTTTTCACCATCCCAGTAATTGTCTTTTCTATACTCAAGGTACTCAGTAGCTTGATAGCATGGTAGTTGTTGAGATTCTATTTTATCATTAGTAATAAACTCTGGAAGACAAAGACATCCAACTGGTTTTAGAAATTCTGAAACCATGATTCCATGTCCATAGTTCTTTGGATATAAAGGCTACTTATTTTCTTCCAACTACATGAATTATCAACCTTCATTCAAATAGAAGTTTGATTCATCATGGGTAATTATGATTTTTTCTTTTTTACCTGGTAGGAGTACTGATGGAATAATATTACTATTCTCATCCCACCGGTAAGAAGAGTTTAGTAACTCCTGATACTGTAGAATAAAAACTGTTAAATGTTATTCAACTACATTGAAGCATTCTGTCACAGCCATCCAATTTTCTTCACTCTTGTCACTCGTTTCGTACCTGGAGGAGCTCTCTGCAGTTCACAGGATTCGGGTTCTTGAAGGGATAGGTGTGGCAAGATAGATTTGGTTAACCATGCACGGTCAGAGGAATTAGTGCGTGGCGATTTCATGTAGCAAAATATATCAGCTGCGTATAGTCAGATACAGCGGAGGAATCTCTTTAGTGTTTTGGAAGGTACAGGAAGGACATATGTTATAGATCGGGAGGATTTCCTATGGTTATGTTATGAGTTGAGCTTAGAGGAGCTCCGTTAGATTGAGGGATTTTCTTGGATATATCTATGGGGTGTGCCCCTTGATATTTTACTTTCTTTATGCAATCTGGTAATCTCCTACCTTTGTATATACTTAGGAATTACGTCCACTCCTTGGTCTCATGTTTATTGTGAAGTAATCTTCAGATTGTTACAACTCTGCAATCCGGAACCTTGAGGAGAACGAACTTGATACCTCGTTACTCTTTATCTTTTCTTGCTCTTGCTTTGCTAGTCTCAGCTTGACCACTAGTAGTGAGCCTGCATTTTTCCGCCTGAATCC